ATTTAAAAAAGAAGAAACTCCTTTCTCTAGGTTGACAAACTCCACACCCGGTCACAAAGGGACCATGACTTGGCACCTAGATACAGGGCACCTAGACGCAGACTAGATTTAAGACCCCATTCCTTCCTTTGGTCAGATGTCTGTTTACAACAAAATACTGGAGGTATTTTCAGAGTATTTTCAAAAGACCTTATACTTAATGACTAGCCAAGCATTTCTAAATACTTCAGTAGGAGGCAGTGGCTTATATTTATCAATTCAGTTTGGATATTATCTGCTAAAAATGCCTAAGTAATTTAATACACTTGATATAGTTTCTAAAAGATTATTATAAACGAAGATTACATTATTCATTAAGAGTCTTGGAGATATGTTTCATATAAAAACAAACACTAAAAGGGATAGAAGCTAACATTATACATTCTTCCAATCCTAGAGAGAGTGAACATATGAAAATGTGGGAGACTAATCTCTTTCATTGTTACGTTAATGCAAACTTGCATCTTTGGCATTTTTAATAGCATTACATGTATAGATTTTTTTAATTGCCCTTCTGTGTATTAGCAAGGACTAGTCATGTCTAATTGCCTATGCACTCTCAGTGAAACTTTATGGCCTTATGAATTGTCCCTGTATCAGACTGCCATAGGGTTTTTTTCTGTATTTTCTAAGAAGTAATGTGTTTCTAAAAACTGAACTAAGATTTTAAAAACCTGGGAACTCATTTAAGATCTGCCATTTACCAATCAAATAAACTTTAAAAATTGACAACCTTTATGAGGACCACATTTCCATTTATAAATTGGGGCAAGAAATACTTGCTGTGGCTTCCTTTCTATGGTTAAGTTGTTTGGAGAAAATTAAAGTAATATGTGAAAGTATTTTAAACTTGTGAAGTCCTATGTAGAAATAAAATGTAATTATTTGAAGTCTATTAGGTTGTACTTTGAAAAATGGCTTGACTTCTTATTGACATCATTTATCATACATGAAATGTGGTCAGCCAAAACACATTGGAATATCATCTTTTAGCTAATCCACTTTTATCAAGTTTTAGCCCAATAAATCATGTACCTACATTTTCCAGTGTGTTGATTCCAAAGGTGTTATTTAGTTCTCCATGGCTAGAATGTGGAGGGTCATGCTTCCTCCTGAATGAATGAAAAGAATTTTCCCTTATAATACTCAAAGTATATACTGAATACAGGTGGGAAAATGTGGTAAGCCATCCATGGCATTTTTTTTTTAAAATAACAGTTTATGTTTATTGGGTTGCTCTTTTCTCCTATCCTCTTAAAGCAAGCTGTTTCATACTATACTTCCAGGGAAATGTCGGTACACTTAGTTCTTTCATAAAACTCATTCACATACAGATAGCATTCATACTTCAAGGCTTAAAAACCACTTAGTGAAGTCCAAGGGATTAAATAGCACAACCATTTCCTTACAATGCCTTTTCAATCACTGAGATCCTACATTTGTCTGTACTATTTTTATGAGTAGGCATTATATATGTACATAGTGATAGATTCATATAATGAAAATTGTTAACAGGGAATGTGTTTCCCTTTAATGCTCTCTCTCTGTATGTCCAGTCTTTTGCAGAAATATCCAATCAACATTGACTTGTGTATCATTTCAGATGTATCTCTGAATATCTAAATGGTATCATAATATATACACTCTTACAACTTGCATTTTTTCTGAATTATGTATCTTGGTTGTCACTGATATCAGTTTTTATAGATATTTTTAATTTTTCAATGGCCATAATAACATAAATCCATTATATGTTCATATGTAACTTATTTAATAATCTCTTGACCCATTTATGCTGTTTTCAATATTTTACTACCATAAACAATATTGAGATAAATATCCTTATGCAACTGTCTTGTGCTAAGGTGTGAAAACACCTGCAGGATACAATTCTGAAAATGAAATGAGTATCAAATGTTATATGTGACTTTTATTTGCCTACTTAAAACAAATTTCCCTGCAAACAGGTTTTCATTATGTGAGCCCATGTACCCCCATTCCATCATCAACACAGTTTATAATCAACCTTTCATACTTTGCAATTGTGATAGCTGAAAAATCATGTCTCATTTTCAGTTTTGAGTAAATTTTACTATAGAATTTTTATACAGCATCTTTCATATGCTTAAGTCTTTTGCATTTATTTTTGTATAAACCATCTTTCACTGTCCTTTGCCCATTTTTCTATAGGAATTTTCACAGATTTTCATTGATTTCTAATAGCTCCTAATAAATTAAGAGTTATATTTTATCTGTCAAATGGTTCAAAATCTGTATTTAGTGTGTCACTGATTTTTAATTTGGATAACACCTTTCATGCAAGAATTTTTAAAAATTTGTTTAGTCAGTTATCTGTACTTTAAGACTTCTTAGTTTTGCATTATATTTGAAAAGATTCATTCACTAGAATTATGAAAAAAAATCTTCCAATTTTATTACGGTATTTTTACCATTTAATTTTTTTCATTTAATTATTTTATCCACCTCATGTTTATTTTGTACTAAGGAGTGATCTAGATTTAAATAAATAAATTCAAATTTATTGTGTTTTTTTCAGGGGGTTCAGAAATTTTTCCATTTCTATTCATGTAAGAATGAATTATTTCTTCAGGAATTAAAGATTACCTTTATTATAAAGTAAAGTAACTTTCTGTTTGGGCATTTGTTCCTGAGTTTCTACTAATCTCTTTGATTTTTTGTGCATAAGTACTCAGTTGCTCTGGTCTCTAAAACTATATACATATTGAAATATCTTACAGGGCTAGTTCCTACAAAGTATTCTTCTTTTAAAGAATCTTCCTGGCAATTCTTGAAAGTTTTTTACTACAAATAAACCCTATAATTAGCTTGCTTGGTTACAAATAAAGATAATTTTGGCATACTTTTTTAATGCATTAAATTTATGATTCATTTATGGAAAACTTGTATCTTTATAATACAGATTCAAGGAAAATGAATGCCTTTCTATTCAACTACTCTTTTAAGTCTCCCATTTCATTTTAACTTTTATCTTCTTTTCCTGTTAAGATTTGCCAAAGAAAGTTCATCTTACTCTTTTACTATTGTAAATGGCCTATTTTCTTTATGTTTTCTAGGTGTTTGAATATATATGTACATATATATATGCATGTGTGTGCATGCCTATTTTATATTCCATAATAATTTATCAGTTTATTTACATGTAATTTTAAGGTAAAGTTCCATCACTTCAAATATCTGTAACTTTGATTTTCTTCTCTAATCTAAATATGTCAAATAATTCCTCCCAAAAATGTAATATATTTTTGATATCAGAGTCCTTTAAGTGTTCTTGCCTTTATTGGCAAAACTTCTAATTCTCCATGAAAAATGATACTGGTGTTTGCTCTGTCTATATCTATATTGCTATACCTATATCTACATAGCAATATATACATACATGCAATGCAGGTTTTATAAGTATGTAAATATATATAAACTTCTTTTTATTTTCTTACACCGTGTGCCTTTCACAGCACTTGTATGTTACTCTTAAAGGACATCATGAAGGCAGGTGGATTCTTCTGGGGCTCAGTCAAGTCTTATGTAGGATTTGTTGAGTTATCTAATTGTAGAAAAGTAAAATTCACAGGCTCCCCCCTCTAGTTTATGTAAAGTAAAGCTCCTTAGGGCAGAGTGAATGTGGCATTGTGGTAAAAAACAGAAAGGTTTTCTCTTTTGAGGAGGAGAGTTGGATGATGGAAGGTGAAAATGAGGATTTTCTGTCTCAAACAAAAGAACATGTCCCCTCATTGATAAGATAAAATGAAAGAGTTATAGCCCAAGTCTGCTACTAAATGCGACATTCAATACATTGCTTACCCTTTTTTTCTCATTTAAAATATATGAAAGTTAGAGTAGATAATGCCAACGTATTTTTCATATTTAACATTATTCAAATGCTGTCACAACTCAAACTTTAAGGTGACTACATGGCAAACTAGATTACGAGACGAGATTATAGTCTCCATTTATGCATCTTTATTCCCTACAGGTTCAAAATTTAGGGAAATAACATACTTCAAAGCTTCTATTTCTGCTTATTTGATCCTCATTTTCATTTGTATGAAAAATGGGAAATGAATTCAGAATATATTTCTGTTTAATTCTGTATTCTGCCAAGCTTTTTTCTAATTTTGTTGAAAAGTTTAAACTCTTATATAAGGTTAAGCTCTACTGAGATGCAGATTTCTTGGAAATTAAAATAAAGGATTGGAAAAATAGTTTGTTTGACATGGAGAGGGCGGTCCTAATACTTCTAGTTTTTCTTAGACAGTAAATCTCAGTGTTATAGTGGCTTAACATAATGTCATTCAGGATTTTGATGAGATCTTTTTCTTCTGCTAAGCAGGTGCATTCATCATTATTACTCTTGCCAAGTCATTTTAGTGTGCAGAATTTGAAATATCAGTATATCTCTATACATTGCTTTGTGCAGGGCACATTCTTGTCACCAGTCAAGCTTGAGGTCTAAAGAGTGGAGGCAGTGAAACGTGGGCTTGCCACACAGCTCTCCATTGAGTTTCTTGAAAACTTGATTCAGTGTCACCCAAGAGCCTATGAAACATGAGCAGTGAGGAAGGATCACTAATAACAAAGTTCTGGCAAGCAGCCAATCTTTCTGCAGTGAAGCTCTGCTCACTTTAATGTAGCTCCACTGGGCTGGATACATGTGGAGGATGGATGACAGCAGGATGCTCTAACAGCTGCTAGGTGATAAGCTGAAGTGGGCCAATGCATGTGGGCAGGGAAGGAGGAGTACAGATATTAGAACTTTTGCTAAAGGGCTGCTAACACCACATTGCACCATCATGGTGCTGTCTAGTTGTAGACCAATACCAAACAATAACATCAGAGAATCCATCTTGGCCTATAACTTCCAGAAAAGAAGTATTTTTTTTTCTAAGTAATATTAGGAAGCCAAAGAAACAGAGACATAGTTCTGAGAGCCAGACTGACTTTTATTTTGACATGCACTCCCTTAAACATGTAAACAGACAGATATCTAAATGTTTTTATTTTTCTTCTATAAAATCAGCAGGTTCCACATTTCCAGCCTTCAGAATATGTTCTTTTAGCTTTCTTTTCAAATCCTGTAAATCAGCATGAGAAAAAGAATGGCATGAGCTAAAGCAAGGTAATAAAGTCTGCAATACTTTTCTAACAAATAAGTCCTCTCCTGGAGGGCTTTGTGTATTTTTGGAGATTAAATTAGTCTTAAGTTGGTGCTAAGGCTTAAAGTTGTTGTCTGAAAGAATAAGCATTATGTTGGGAGAAAAATATACTGAAGAATTTTTACTGTTTAGAGGAAATATACTATATCTGAATGCCCATTTATGTGCATCCAGTTATCATCAAATACAATAGATCATGACTTACTGGTTGAATGACACATTCCTTGACTCCTAGTTTGAAGCTGATTAGGTGATTGTGTCAAATATTAAAGTACAGTTTACATATAGGACTGGATTTGATGCAGTTTGTGTTTTTTGGGTATTGTCCTTAAAATCAAGATATTTCAGACATCTTCCAAGCCTGTAATCAACAACCACTATCCATTCATTGACTTACATTTTTGTTGCACACCTACCATGTACATGACACAGTACAAGGGATGGAGTGTACAACAGTGAATAAGAAATATGTAACTTCTAAACTCCTTGAACTTGCATATTTACTGTTTAAAGCCTACTTTATTTGGTATTGTTCAGGAATACCCAGTCATATAATACATGACACCTGTTTATAAAAGACCAACAGTTTCGCTGGAGAAGTATAAACCATATGAAAAGTAAATATGAAATGATATGTCATAATTATGAGTTCTTCAGAGCACACCCACTTTTTGAATAAAAGGCCAAAGAATAAATATAATTCGTGGGCCAGAAAGTCTCTAGTACAACTACTCAACTCAAAAAATTGCCATAGACAATGAGCAAAGTAATGGGTGTGAATTTATGCTGATAAAACTTTATTCGTAAAAGGAGATAGTGGGCTAGATTTGGCCCACTGGTTATAACTGCTCAATTCCTACCTCAGAAAATAATTTGTATAGGAGTTGGGAAAGTGGGGTGTTTACAACATAATATTAGAAGATACACTGATCTTAAATTCTGGAGAGAAGGTAGCTTATACTCATTTTACAGTATTTCAGCAAAATAACTAGAATATACCCTACATCTTCTTATTGACAGTGCATGAATTCATGTATCTGGAACCAAACTCTGCTACCCACATCAAATTTAACTCTTATCTTTCCTAGCCCAGCTCTTTCTATATGAGACTATGTCCTTTGGTTTTGAGCTTGATTCTTAGAAAAAGACTTACTCCCTGAATCTCTAAACACTCAAAGGACAATCACAAATTGACTGCATTAAGTCTTAGGTTCTTTGTTTATTTTTTTAAATTCTTCTAAAATTAATATACAGGGTTATATTAATTTCATGTATACAATATAGTGATTCTACAATCATACATTACTCAATGCTCATTACAGTAAGATTGTATCTTTTTTTAAGCAGTATCTTTTTAGTTTTTTAAATTTAAATTCAATTAGCCACCATATAGTATATGATTTGTTTTTTTCTTATTATGTTAATCACCATACATTACATCATTAGTTTTTGATGTGGTGTTCCATGATTCATTGTTTGCATATAATACCTAGTGCTCATCAGATCACCTGTCCTCTTTAATGCCCATCACCCGGCTACCCCATCTCCCACCCCCCTCCCTTCCACAACCCTCAGTTTGTTTCCCGGGGTCAAGAGCCTCTCATGGTTTATTTCCCTCTCTGATTTCTTCCCATTCAGTTTTCCCTCCCTTCCCCTATAGTCCTTTGCGGTATTCCTTATATTCCACATATGAGTGAAACCATATGACAATTGTCTTTCTCTGACTTATTTCACTTAGCATAATATCCTCCAGTTCTATCCATGTCGATGCAAATGGTGAGTATTCATCCTTTCTGATGGCTGAGTAATATTCTATTGTATATATTAACCACATCTTCTTTATCTATTCATCTGTTGAAGGACATCTCAGCTTCTTCCACAGTTTGGCTATTGTGGATGTTGCTGCTACAAACATTGGGGTGCATGCCCCTTCTTTTCACTACATCTGTATCTTTGGGGTAAATACCCAGTAGTGCAATTGCTGGTTCATAAGGTAGCTCTATTTTTAATTTTTTGAGGAAACTCCATGCTGTTTTCCAGAGTGGCTGCACCAGCTTGCATTCCCACCAACAGTATAAGAGGGTTCCCCTTCTCCACATCCTTGCCAACATTTGTTGTTTCCTGTCTTGTTAATTTTAGCCATTCTGACTGTTGTAAGGTGGTATGCCATTGTGGTTTTGATTTGTATTTCCCTGATGGCACATTATGTGGAGCATTTTTTCATGTGTCTGTTGGCCATTAGTATGTCTTCTTTGGAGAATTGTCTGTTCATGTCTTCTGCCCATTTCTTGACTGGATTATTTGTTTTTTGGGTGTTGAGTTTGGTAAGTTCTTTATAGATCTGGATACCAGTATAAAGGGCTGGTTACAGATAAAGGCTGTAATGTCATTTGCAAATATCTTCTCCCATTCCATAGGTTGCCTTTTAGTTTTGTTGATGGTATCCTTTGCCATGCAAAGCTTTTTATCTTGATAAAGTCCCAATAGTTCATCTTTACTTTGTTTCCCTTGCCTTTGGAGATGTGTCCTGCAAGAAGTTGCTGTGGCCGAGGTCAAAGAGGTTACTACCTGTGTTCTCCTCTAGGATTTTGATGGATTCCTGTCTCACATTGAGGTCTTTCATCCATTTTGAGTTTATCTTTGTGTATAGTATAAGAGAATGGTCCAGTTTCATTCTTCTGCATGTGGCTGTCCAATTTTTCCAGCACTATTTATTAAAGAGACTGTCTTTTTTCCATTGGATATTCTTTCCTGCTTTGTCAAAGATTAGTTGACCATAGAGTTGAGGGTCCATTTCTGGGTTCTCTATTCTATTCCATTGACCTATGTGTCTGTTTTTGTGCCAGTACCATGCTGTGTCAATGATCACAGTTTTGTTATATAGCTTGAAGTCAGGCATTGTGATGCCCCCAGCTTTGGTTTTCTTTCTCAACATTCCCCTGGCAATTTGGGGACTTTTCTGGTTCCATACAAATTTTAGGATTGTTTGTTCCAGCTCTGTGAAAAATGTCAATGGTATTTTGATAGGCATTGCATTAAATGTGTAGATTGCTGTAAGTAGCATAGACATTTTAACAATGTTTATTCTTCCAATCCAGGAGCATGGAATGTTTTCAATCTCTTTGTGTCTTCCTCAATTTCTTTCATAAGTGTTCTGTAGTTTAAATGGGATCAATTCCTTAATTTCTCTTTCTTCAGTCACATTGTTAGTGTATAGAAATGCAACTGATTTCTGTGCATTGACTTTGTATCCTGCCATGTTGCTGAATTCCTGTATGAGTTCTAGCAATTTTGGGGTGGAGTCTTTTGGGTTTTCCACATAAAGTATCATGTCATCTGCGAAGAGTGAAAGTTTGTCCTCTTTGCCAATTTGAATACCTTTTATTTTTGTTGTTGTTGTTGTTGTTGTCTGATTGCTGAGGCTAGAACTTCTAGTACTGTGTTGAACAACTGGTGGGAGTGGGCATCCCTGTCATGTTCTTGACCTTAAGGGGAAAACTCTCAGTTTTTCCCATTGAGAATGATATTCGCTGTGGGCTTTTCATAGATGGCTTTTATGATTTTGAGGTATGTTCCCTGTGTCCCTATACTTTGAAGAGTTTTAATCAAGAAACAATGCTGTATTTTGTCAAGTGCTTTTTCTGCATTGAGAGGATCATACGGTTCTTGTCTTTTCTTTTTTGCTAATGTGCTCTATCATGTTGATTGATTTGTGAATGTTGAACTACCCTTGCGTCCCAGGAATGAATTCCACCTGGTTGTGGTGAATAATCCTTTTAATGTACTATTGGATCCTATTGGCTAGTATCTTGGTGAGTATTTTGGCATCCATGTTAATCAGGGATATTGGTCTGTAATTCTTTTTGATGGGGTCTTTGTCTGGCTTTGGGATCAAGGTAATGCTGGCCTCATAGAATGAGTTTGGAAATTTTCCTTCCATTTCTATTTTTTGTAACAGCTTCAGTAGAATAGGTATGATTTCTTCTTTAAATGTTTGCTAGAATTCCCCTAGGAAGCCATCTGGCCCTGGACTCTTGTTTTCTGGGAGGTTTTTATTTTTTTTTTTTTTCACTTTCCTGTTTTCTTTTCTTTTTTTTTTTTATTCTTATGTTAATCCCCATACATTACATCATTAATTTTAGATGAAGTGTTCCATGATTCATTGTTTGCGCATAACACCCAGTGCTCCATGCAGAATGTGCCCTCCTTAATACCCACCACCAGGCTAACCCATCCTCCCACCCCCCTCCCCTCTAGAACCCTGTTTGTTTTCAAGAAGTATATATATACAATGGAATATTATGCAGCCAGCAAAAGGAATGAGATCTTGCCATTTGCAACAACGTGGATGGAACTGGAGGGTATTATGTTGAGTGAAATAAGTCAAACAGAGAAAGACATGTATCATATGACCTCACTGATATGAGGAATTCTTAATCGCAGGAAACAAACTGAGGGTTGCTGGAGTGGGGGGTGGAGTGGGAGGGATGGGGTGACTGGGTGATAGACACTGGGGAGGGTATGTGCTCTGGTAAGCACTGTGAATTGTGCAAGACTGTTGAATCTCAGATCTGTACCTCTGAAACAAATAATGCAATATATGTTAAGAAAAAAAAAAAGAAGAAGAAGGTAGCGGGAGGGGAAGAATGAAGCGGGGGAAATCGGAGGGGTAGACCAACCATGAGAGGCGATGGACTCTGGGAGGTTTTTTATTAGTGCTTCAATTTCCTTGCTGGTTATTGGTGTGTTCAGATTTTATATCTCTTCCCGTTTCAGTCTTGGTAGTTAATAAATTTCCAGGAATGCATCCATTTCTTCCAGATTGTCTAATTTAACATATAGTTGCTCATAATATGTTATTAAAATTGTCTGTATTTCCTTGGTGTTGGTCATGATCTCTCTCATTTATGATTTTATTG